AAAAAACGATGGAAGTATAAAAACATATAGGTAAAATACCCTACATATACTCCCCCTCCAGTAAAACAATAAATTAATTAATGTTAAATGTTATTTTTTTTTTTTTGTATTTGGAATTGTTAGTGAATTCGATTTTTTTGTTGTTGTTTTAGAAATTATATTTGCAGGTTTGAGTAAATCTATTGAAACCGTTTTAATCATATTTCCCTGTTGAATTTTGAATACATTGTCATTTTTCGAAATAATTTTATATGGTCCTTCATAAGGTGATTGCAAATTTAACTTGTGAATAACTTTAACAAAAACGTACTCACAAGTATCCAAATTTTTAGGAATATAAGAGTATTCTTTATTGTGATGTACAACCTTTGATCTAACATTTGAAAAATATTTTTAGAAAGAGTTTCATTTGTATTATCAACTTCATTATTATAACTGTTCGTAATAACTAACTCACCTGGTAATCTTAATGTTTGTCCATAAACTAAATCTTCTTTAATAGACGTACGTAGTCCTAATAATATCCAAGGAAGAATATCAGACCAGTGGGTAGAATCATCTGAAGCAGTAATAGCAGTATTTAATGTCCTATGAAATCTTTCAATCATTCCATTTGATTGAGGATGATATGGGGATGTATGAATTTTGTGTGATCCTAACAATTTAGTTAATTCTGTGAACACTTTTGACGTAAACTGTGATCCTTGATCTACTGTTATATAAAGGGGAATGCCAAAACGAGGAACGTAATTTTGAAAAAAATGTTGCTATAGAATTATCTGAAATATCCCTAAGTGGATATGCCTCTGGCCAACGTGTATGTCTATCAATGATAGTTCAAATGTAACGATTTTCTTTTGACACAGGTAATGGACCAACAAGATCCATAAATGTTCAAATCGTCCAGATGGAATGTTAATTTTTTGCACAGGCGTCTTAGTATGTTTAGAAATTTTTGATTTTTGACAACTTGTACAAGTAGAAGTCCAATTATTTATCTCTTTGCGCGTATTACGCCAAAAATATTTTGATTGAATCAAACGCCTAGTTGTACGGACACTTGGATGTGATAAAGAATGAATTTTATCAAAAATGATTTTTCTCATAGAATTGGGAACAAATGGTCTAAAAGGTTGTTGAGAAATATCACACCAAATATTAAGATTAAGTACTGGAATATTAATTTCATTTAAATTACTGTTAGAATTTTGGTTAGATATTATGTCATAAAGTGTTTGATCTTTTTGTTGTTCCTCGAATAATGTTTGAAAATTTATGTCTTGGGCTAAAATCATGTTAACATCTGGAATACGTGAAAGGGTATCAGCAACTATGTTTTCTTTTCCAGAAATGTATTGAAAGTCGTCTGTAAATTGTGTAATGTACTCTAAGTGTCGAATTTGTCGAGGTGATCTGTCTGATTTAGAATTTAGAATATGTGCTAAAGGTTTATGATCAGTATAAACAGTGAAAATTCTACCTTCTAAAAAACGTTTAAAATGTTGAATTGAATTGTATATTGCTAAAAGTTCTCTATCAAATGTAGAGTAATTAATTTCTGTAGAAGATAATTTTCGTGAAAAATATGCAAGTGGTTCTAAAATGTTGTTACTCATTTGTTGTAAAACCGCACCGACTGCTACATTCGATGCATCGACAGCAAGTGATAATTTACCATTTTTATCAAAAT